CAGCCGGGCAGGCCAGCCGCCAGGTCCGGCTCTTTCCTCGAAGGCCTCACGTTCGCCTGCGTGTGAGCACGGGTATTGTAAGACGCGCTGCAATGTGTATCTCATACTGTACATTAGTAACCGTGATGTACATTTTTAAAAATCACAACAAACTTTCCCCAGGGGGATTAATATCCCCGCGTTGCTCTTGGGAAGAGTTAACTGCTAGGAAATACAATAGAGTCAGGACTGGAAATCAGCTGGGCTGGCTGCAGACAGCTTTCTCCACCTCTCATCCCAGAGGACCAAAGGACATAGCAAGACATACAGAAGCAACTCTAGCTGTGTTTGACATTAACATGTTAAAATTTAATCTCATACCAGGACCAGCAGTTGGTGTGTAATGGCTATGTCGCTGGACTCCTATGTAGCCAACCTTGATTCAAGTCCCGGACCCGGTGGTTTAAACTCCTGCCGGGTGATTTCTCACTCTCTGACGAGCTAACGCGCCCTATAGTAAAAACATCTCTCTCAAAAATAAACTTATACCATATAGTTCACCCATTTAAAGTGTGCATTCAGTGTTTTGTTTTGTGTTTTTTTGTTTGTTTTTTGTTTTAGTTTTTACTATAGGGCTCATGCACTTTCCAGAAGGAGACGGGGACAAAAATCACCCCCATGGGGAGGGCCACACTGCAGCCCTGTGGGAAGGTTAAGCCAGCACCTTAACCCTCACAGCTCCTGCTGGCCCAGCCTTCAATGGTTTTTAATATAGTCATGGTTAATCATCACCAAGATCCATTTTACAATTTTCACCACTCAACAACAACAAATCAAGCAGAAAGATTGTACCTTTTAGCTATCACCCACAATCCTCTACAATTCTACAGCCCTTGCCAATTTCTAATATACTTTCTGTCTCTATAGAGTAACCTTTTCTGGGTATTTAATATAAATGGAATCGTGGGACCAGCAGTTAGCGTAATGGTTATGTTGCTGAACTCCTACGTAGTCGACTGCGGTTCGCATCCCGGACCCGGTGACTTAAAACTCATGCCGGGCACATGTGCGTGCGTGCCCAAGATCCCGAGAGGAGAATGGAGGAGAAGGGATTGCAGTGTGGCCATCCCCCCTGGGGGGTGATTTCTCGCTTTCCATCTCTGTCTCTCTCTCTCTGGCGAGCGTACACACCGTATAGCAAAAAAAACTCTCAAAAAAATATATATAAATGGAATCGTGTAGTATAGGGTCTGTTTTTGGTTTTGTTTTGTAACTGGTGTTTTTCACTTAATATTTTTAAGGTTCATCCATGGTGTATTATGTATCAGTGCCTCATTCCTTTTTTGGCTGAGTAGTATTGGGTCATATAGATATACATTTTGTTTATCCATTCATTAAAATGTTATTTTCAGGGCCAGCCAATGGGTGGCATAGTGGCTAAGGCACTGGATTCCCACCTGGCTGATAATGGTTTAAGTCCTGCTGAACCTGGTGGCTTGAAAATCATGCGGGGTGTGTATGCATATATACACAAAATCCCAGGAGAAGAATAGAAGAGGAGGGATTGCTGCATGGCCATCCCCCTGGGGGAGTGATATCTCAGTTTCTCTCTCTCTGTCTCTTTTCTGCAAACTCATACACTCTATAGCAAATTTTTTTTTTTTGGAGAGATTTTCACTGTAGGGCGCGTGCGCTCGCCAGACAGACAGAGAGAGACATAGAGACAGAAAGCGAGAAATCACCCCCCAGGGGGGATGGTCACGCCGCAATCCCCTCTCCTCCATTCTCCTCTCGGGATCTTGGACACGCACGCACATGCGCCCGGCGTGAGTCCTAAGCCACCGGGTCCAGGACACGAACCGCGGTTGACTACGTGGGAGTCCAGCGACATAGCCATTACGCTAACTGCTGGTTCCCCAAATTTTTAAGTTATTTTCACTATTTGACTATTATGAGTCATGCATCGATGAACATTCATGTATAAATTTTTGAACAGACATGTTTTTATTTCTCTTGGGTATATGACAGAACTTCAAAAAGTTCACAGCGATGGGGTCAGCAGGTGACATGGTGGTTAAGATGCTGAATCTCACATGCCCAACTCCCCAGTCTGGTGGCTTAAAAAACACACTGGATTCATGTGTGTGCATGACTAAAATCTGAAGATGAAAATGGAGAAGAGGTTGTATCATGGCTATCTCCCCTGGGGGGAGATGATTTTTCACTTTCCCTCTCTTTCTCTCTCTCCTGGGAAAGCACATGGCTGATGGCAAAAATCTAAATTAAAAATAAAGTTCATAGAAGGCTAGTAGGTGGTGTGGTGGTAAAGGCACTGGACTCCTATATGGCTGACTGTGATTTAAGTCCCAGACTGGATAGCTTAAAAAACAGCCAGGCAAGTGTGTATGCGTGCCCAAAATCTTGAAAGGAGAATGGAGGAGAGAGGATTATGGTGTGGCCATCTCTCTTAGGCAGTGATTTTTCATTTCCATCTCTCTTGCACTCTGTCTCTCTGGCAAGCTCTTTTGCCCTTTAGGGGGAAAAATTTCATAAAAAGGAATTAATAGGCACTTCACAACTGGGATGTTTGATTGTCTGTATTTTGGCATCATATGGGGCAAACTCTGATTCTACGAATTCCATCTATATATTAAAAAGCTCTGCCTCTATTCTGAAAACCTAAGGATGTGTCCTGGACAAAGACTGCTGCCATTAGAAATAGTAGGAAGAGGGACCAGCAGATGCATAATGGTTACGTCACTGGACTCCCACATAGTAAACTGCAGTTCAAGTCCTGATCCAAGTAGCTTCAAACTCACGCCGACCGCGAGTGTGTGCATGCTCAAGATCCCAAGAGGAGGATGGAGGACAAGGGATTACCGCCTGGCCATTTCCCTGTGGTGACTTTTCACTCTCTGTCTCTCTAGCGAGTGTACCTGCCCTATAGCAAAAATCTCTTTCTTAAAAAAGAAAGAAGAAATAGTAGGAAGAAAGGCAAGAATTTGAATAAGCAGGGAACCAGCAGTTAGCGTAATGGCTTTGTCGCTGGACTCCCACATAGTTGACCGCGGTTCGCGTCCCGGACCCGGTGGCTTAAAGCTCATGCCAGGCGCGTGTGCGTGCATGCCCAAAATCCCGAGAGGAGAATGGAGGAGAAGGGATTGCGGTGTGGCCATCTCCCCTAGGGGGTGATTTCTCACTTTCTGTCTCTATGTCTCTCTCTGTCTGTCTGGTGAGCGCACACGCCCTATAGCGGAAAAAACCTCTCCAAAAAAAAAAGAATTTGAATAAGTAAAGACAGAAAGACAGGAAGAAGCCAAGTGACTGAGTGACTGAGAGCTATTTGAGACTAAGGCCATTCCCCAATGCATGCCATTATTTAAGGGAGGCAAATTTTATCTCCATCCTCTTAAGAGTTTTGGCTAAACCTAAGAATTATTATAAATTGATATAAGACAGATCAACAGGAGAAAAGCATACATCTGCATTTAATACAAATTTGATGAGACATGGGATCCATCATAAGGAAATGAAGACCCAGAGACTTAGAATTGAACACTTAACTACTGAATTGGATGAAGAGTAGTAAATTATGAAAATGTGACAAAGCAAAGGGGCTTGAGCTCCAGTAATTAATTAGATGGAGAAGTGACTGGAAGATAAGGGTTAGCTTAACAAGTTTATTTGTGGGAAATTCCCTATACCTCACCTTCCTGTCCTTGATGATAAGAATGGTATTTTCTAGGCCCAGCAGGTGGCGTGGTGGTTAAGGCACTGGCTTCCCATATGGCCAACCAAGGTTTGAATGCTGGACCTGGTGGCTTGCTTTCTCACTTTCCCTTGCTCTCTGTCTCTCTGGTGAGCACACATGTCCAAATTAAAAAGTAAAAATAATAACTATTACTTATTATTAAATAATTACTATCTTTTAAAAATGATTTTATTTACCTTTATTTATTAGTATTATTTTCCATTTTGACTAGAAAGAGAGAGATAGAAGGGAAAGTGAGTGAGAAAACAAGCTACCAGGTCTCAGGTCTGAGACTTGAACCACAGTTGGCCATGTAACAGTTCCGTGCCTTTAACCACCATGCCACCTGCCAGCCCCTAAATAGTTCTTTTTTTTGGGGGGAGAGGTTTTTGGTATAGGGGTGTGTGTACTCGCCAGAAAAACAGAGAAATCACGCCCCCCAGGGGATGGCCACCCCGCAATCCCTTCTCCTCTATTCTCCTCTCAGGATCTTGGGCATGCACGCACATGCCCCCAGCATGAGTTTAAGCCACCAGGTCCAGGACTTGAACCACAGTCGACTACATGGGAGTCCAGTGACATAGCCATTACGCCAACTGCTGGTCCCCTAAATCGTTCTTTTAAAAAAAAAAAAATGATGCTTTCCTTCTGGTAGAGGGAAGATATCTTTCACATGGGAATTTCATCTTTTGCCTTTAAGAAACAAGTTCAGAGTTGTCTTCTCAACTGCTGTTTTCTTTTACTTTCTTTTATTTCCCCCTAGATTTTTGCCATGTGCTCTCCAGAGAGAGAGAGACAGTGAAAGGGAAAGAGAAATCATCCCCCACCCCTGCGGGGGAGGGG